GCTTTTAACTCTGAGGATTATTTGAGCAAATCTCATATAGCCTCAGATTAATGCTTATAACTGTTCTGCTAGTATTTCATCTAAGAAGACAGGTTACCCTCCCCCAGGCTAGCTACTGGTTACCCGGTGCGTCCAAATTTGATGGATAGTTTTACGGCCTTCGGTGGGGGTTATCTGCGAAATAGGTAGACCCTCGGGTCTAGCGGATAAGTAATAACTGACCGGCAAGGACAGTGCTACCAGAGCGTGGAGGACGGAGGTCTGGCATGCCGCAGAATCCGGTGTTGGCTCTATGAACCATTATTAAATAATTTTGCTTGTCGCCGGTGTCTTGTGGCTAAAGCGCTACGGGAGACCACACCCGAACAACCCCTTAGAGCCGCTGTTGGGAACGCGCTTGAATACATTTCCCACCATATTATTACGATCCATGCTGAGGCGGCTGCAGGGGCCGACAAGCCCCACAATCGTACTTGAGCGGCACGGACGAATAGGGTGTAACTTTGATTATTTAACCGGGAAGCCATTCTTGGTATTGAATGCTGGAATATGTGAACGTCCCTGTACCCTGGCGTCCAAAGTCTGCGGTGCGCAGTTTTTATCCGCATGTCGTGGACTTCTGCTCGTTTTCGGTCAAAAGTCTGAATTCTCGGTTCAGGCGCTCAGGAATACAGATTCCGCAAGTCAACTCACGCTTCACTCTGTACTGCAGCCGTTCACGTGAGTTTTAAAAATTCCCATCAGAGAATTCAGAAGAGTAGCTGGCGAGCATACGTAGGCTTTCGATGAATTCTTATCGGGCCATTATATTTATATGGGAACGGGTGCAAGTCAAATAAGCGATCGATAATGTTCGTCGTTTCGCACAAACGAGTCGTGGGAATCGGAGAAGGAGTCGACAAAAGAAGGAGGGTTTAGTGGAGCCAGTCTAGGGGTGGGAAACAAAGAGAGCGTGGATGAGTACATGCAGTCAAGTGGCTGTGGGCCATGCCAGAAGTGGAGCTTGTAGGCGGTTCTTTTGCGCACACAACGCCGGTTTCCTCAACCTGACAGTGGTCGCTTCGGCTAGTAGACGCTCACCCAGGGACTTTGAATAGTTTGGTGGAACCTTATAAATCACCTTGAAGGCTTCGTTGGGGTCCCCACGATGTCCGAAAACAACAATGTGGGCAAGAATTGCGCTGTTTATGCTCATGATTTCACCCTTGCTCTCTGGTAGGGGCTATGTGGCAATCGCCCTTTCACAACCAGCGAACCGTGCAAAACTTGCTTGGAAACCAATCAATGACCCGATAGCCCACGTGCGACCAAACGATCCCTGAACTAGCTACCACCTCTGCTACATTGGTGTACGCACCGACATCGGCTGTCAAAGACTGCGAGAAAAAGGCTTTGTATCCGCAGCTATAAGTGTTAATTGAAAGGCTTCCCCAATTCGCTCCACTGATGGTTGCAGAGAGCCGGAATGAACTCGGCCAGTTTTCATACAGTTATTATAGGGGCAAATTTTGGCTTGGATCTCCATGCGTCTGCGGTTTTTCACCAGCACTCGGTTCCAACGTCAGAAAAAACACCTGCTGACCTGGCATTCGAATGACGGACATAAGGGCACTGAGATCGAACCCACTCTGGTCAGGTACCGTACCTGGTTTTCTCGCAGGGGTTTAGGTAAGTTAAACCCTGGCAAATGCGATCTTCAGGCCCGGTTCCTTAGGAGAGGGGAAGTCACGGGATAGCCAGAGTGGTAGTACGAGTTTGTT